GACAAGGTCAGAGATATAGTAGACATGTGGTGATGGGAGATCCTTACCCTCTAGACAATGAAGATTTTCGTCCTTTGGGTGAAAAGTTTGTCCGGTCATCACTTTTTCCTATATTTTGAAGACTTTCTCTCATTTGGAAGGCATCCACTCCATCAACAATTTAGCTAAGCAACCTTGGAACATTCTCTCAAGCTTTACAGCTGTAGAGCAAGTTTAATTTCTGCTTGTAATTTTATTTTCGTAGTTAGTCTTTAATTCTCGCTACTGTATATTGTATGCCCTCTGTGGGCAACAGTTTAAGTATTAATTTCAGTTCAAGTATTTCTTATGTATTTTTTCTTCTTCTGTTTCCGTTATGTTTTCTAATTTCATTATGAGCTAAACACCCCTTTGGGTGTGGGTGTGAGTCAAGCTTAAGAATTTAAAGGCACACTTAGGTGTTGCCATTTTTATTGATTCTTAAGCTTGGTCATTTATGTCGAAACTTAAGCTCAACGCAAATAAGCCGATCACTTTGAAGTGTTAATATTAGATCCTTGATCCAGAGATGGGCGGATTTGAAATACGGCTTAGATGATGCACAAAGATTTGAGAGAGTCTTTGATAATCACGCAGAGATGCGGGTTTTGCATGTTTTTAGCTTATTTTCATATATTAGTCGAGTTTATGCTACAATACGTTATGAGTATAAATCTTCAGGCTAGTGGAACCAAATATCTTTTTATCTAGTAGCTAATTCGGCAAGTTTAAGATTGATATAATTGGATGCTTTGTGGGCACTCTGGGGCACAATATATAAGAATTCACTTTCGAGAGATGTGAGTTCTTATAGAAATCCCATGAGTTTCTGACCAAATTGTTCCTGCAATATTCTTAAGCAAAGCTTACACCCATACCCGTCTTTTAATATTAAAGGTTTATTTCGTATTTTAACGCTTTGCACAAATCAAAACTCAACTATTTTCTTAACCCAAAGCATGTTCAAGAAGTTCATGAAAGTCTCTGATTCTCAGCAAGTCCGGTCCCTATGGAAACGATCTTGGTACTATACCACTCTATTACTTGAAGCGATCATAGTGTCGGCKTGCACTTGCACCGCCACTTTGGGGATTTTATGCCCACTGTGTGCACACTTACGATTTTAGCACATCACTTATCTAGAGGGAGTCTATTAAAGTATTAGAGTGTAAGGGGCCATTTACCAAACTCTTACCCGAGTAAGCGCTTACTAAGTCACATTACATTACCAAATGAATATGATAAGGACCAAGAATCTTACCCGGTAAGAGCGGGACAATGACCAAGAGTCTTACACGATAAGTGAGGACGATGACTCTTACTACAGTTAACGCTTACAGGGTAAATCGTTGTATACGATGCCGTTTTTATTGACTAAAATCATATCCAATAAGTAAGTGATAGTTTTGAATTTTACTGATGAGCACTTACCGGGTAAGTGTTTGATAAGCGACACCTAAGAGTAGTTTAGTAATTTCTTTTGTATGGGTTAGTGTAAATAAGTGCTTTGCATCCATTTATCAAGTAATACAATTCAATTTTTCTCATTTTCATAATATATAATTCTATAATATAAATTATTTGTTTAATTTTGATATTAAAAAATTAAAAATCAAAAGAAATGATATAAAAACCAAGATAACCCTAAGTTAACAACTTTTTTCACGAAAGTTAAGTTACACGCACCAAAAGTGTAACAAAATGATAACCACAACGATAAAAATGTAATTATTTAAAACAAAGGGGGAAATTTGTAACAAATGATAAGTATATGGATTAAAAGTGTAATTTAGTCTAATTATTACGAGAAGATTGGAATGATTCAAGTCTGCTGCTTGTTTGTCAACTGATTGATATATCCCATGCCCAATATTCGGATATCCGTACTTGAATAATTATTTTAATTAATCGTTTAATTAGGTGACGTATATACCAACAACATCACTTAATTATTTTTTATCTATATTATATTAAAAAACATTTGATAAAAACTTTTAAAAAATAAATTTTTATGCATAAAATATTATTTATTGATTTATATTATTTAAAATTTAAGATTACAGTAAACTGTACGTAGGTACAACTTATTAAAGGTTCATGTTTGAATTCGTGTAACTAATTTCAGATAAAAATAATCAAATAGAGAATAAATTTTTTATTTTAAATATAAAAAACTAAAATATAATTAGGATAATTATTGAGTTCTAATAAAATATTTAATTATTATCTTTATAAAAAATTATATTATTAAATAAAAAATAAAAAAATGAATTAAAGAAATACACTAAAAAACGAGAAATTTTAAATAGTTAGTTTAGTACTAATATCTTCATATTTATATTTTATTCAAAAATAAAAAAACATTATCGTTTTCTCAAAACCGCATAAAACCGTATTATAATATCGATTAAGACAAAAAAACGAAACACTAAAATCGAGATGTATCTCGCTGTATTGTGCGAATACCTTCTAGTTTAATTAAAAAACATTTTTGACAGCTATGCTATATTTTCTTAAAAGTAGAGTATTAAAAATTTAAAAAGAATTAGGGCTTATCTGTTTTTTCAAAATTACCTCTTAATACCTTTGAAGTATGATTAGTTTAGACATTTAGGTATTAAGAGCATTTGTTTTATTTATAAAATAAGAACTTAAAAGCTCTAATTGTCCTCTGAAATTTTAAGTAGTAAACGTATCTCTTAATCCTAATCCGTCCTCTATCAAATGGTTCATATTTTGGGGGTTGGAAGAGATTTGTTAGCAAAAACTATTTATTTTTTATACTTTTGCACTAGTTTGATCGATTTAGATTTCAGACTTCAGAAGTAAAAACAAACAATTCTACTGATCCAAATTTCAGATATCAAGACCACATCTTATAAATCATAAGTGGAATCAGAATTCAAACTTTAGTACCTCTTAAAAAACAAACGACATCTTACAATAACTCTAACAACTACTCTATTTGAGCATATATGTTAGAGATACTCTATGAAAACATATTATAATACTGTAAAGAAAAATGTATTAAAACTTTTAGGTCATGTTTTGTAAATATAAATTTACTTATAAGAATTTATCTTTTGAGCTTATTATAAAAACCCTGTTCGGATGGACAAAAAATAGTTTATAAGCTAAATTACTAAAACAAATGACTTGATGTGCGGTTTTGTTAACATATTATTTGATTTTTCTTACTTTTATTAATGTTTTATTTGTTAGTTTTTAATATATAATCTAATTTAAATTATGGAGAAAGATCGTGTGAGAAAGTGAGTTAAAGTGAAAAGTGTAAACAAGGATCCAGACCCTTGATCACCTTTAATCTCATCCATGAATCGCACTTGATACGATGATTGATCTGGTGGATCTCATCCTAATATGTATCCAATGATGAAGATCCCTTCTTATGATGCTCACCTTAATTCTCATTTTCACAAGAACCCAACACTTCAAATTATTTAGCATCATTGACTCATTGAGTAACAGTAGAAAATATATGTTTTTATATTTATAATAATTTATATGATATAAAGATTTGTCATCATATATCACACGCTTCAAAAAACGCGTGTGGATCTTAAAGCCTGAGATTTGAGCTCACTGTCACGTTATGCCTCAGGGGCTGTTTGTTTGGCTCTTAATGGTTACATTAAGAGCCAACCTCTTAATCGCTAAGAGGTCAAGGCTGTTTGGCAAAAAAAAATACTCTGAATGGTTACATTTTCCCTCTTAACCATTTTGCATCTAAGGGGTCTCTAAACCATTCAGACTCCTCTTTTTCCCTATTTACCCTCTTTCCCAACATTCCTCACATCGCTCTGTCGCATCCTCCCCCCACCCTACGATCGTCGTCGCCTCATCGCCGCCGTCGTTCGTCGTCGCTGCCTCTCGTCGCCGCCGCTGCCTCTCGTCGCGTCCTCTCCTGTCTTGGGTTTGCATCTAGTCGTCGCTGCCTCTGGTCGCCGCCGCCTCCTCTCGTCGCGTCCTCTCCTGTCTAGGGTTTGCATCTAGTCGCCGCCGCTCGCCGCCGCCGCTCGTCGCCGCCTCACGTCGCCTTCCACATCCTTGCAATTCCTTGCAAAGATGCTYGTCGCCGCTCCTCTCCTGTCTAGGGTTTGGTTTAGGGATTAGCATTTTTCTTTGGAAATTGATGGTGTTTATTGCTAATTTCATGTTTGTAACAATGTTACTGATGATTGGATTACCGACATTTTGCAATTTATTGAGGATTAGATACTGATATGAAGAACAACATCTTTGCAATTTCTTGAGGATTACCGACATCTTTTTCTTTGGAAATTGATTGTATTTCTTGAGGGTTAAAATGGTAATTTGTTATCATTCAGAGAACAATTACCAAACAACCTTGTTTCATTCAGCACTTAACTATTCTGATCTTCTTAGCCATTCTAACCTCTTAACTATTCTGAACTAAATTATTCAGCAACTGCCAAACAGCCCCTCATTCTATTTGGAACCTTATAAAAATTAGACAAAAACATTACTAAAGAAATATGTAAAATAAATGAGTAAATTATGTTTTTAGTACTTGTGGTTTGTTGAAAATTTCTATTTTCATCCATATGGTTTTAAGATATCAGTTTTGATCCCTATGATCTAATTTTTTTTTTTATCTGTATAGTTTACAATTCATTTCTATTTTAGTCTTTCATACTTAAAAGTAACGTTTTGGACTCAAGGATGCAAATAGAAATGAATTGCAAAACATAGGGATGAAAACTGAAATTTTAAAACTATAGGGACGAAATCCGAAACTTTAACCAAACGACATGGACGAAAAATGTAATTTACTCAATTATTAATTTGAAATCAATATAATAAAAGAAAGAAGGTATATGTCGATCATATTCCAAAAATACTGCATTTTGTCATTTTTAAAACCGCAGGTATTTAATTTGAAAATTAATAATAAAATCAGAAATCAAAGAATTTTCAACGATGGCGAAACCATACAAAATGACACAAGCCATTGCTGCCGATTGGGTGAAACAAAGCTGTACTTCCTCCACCACCGGCCGATATATGGCCGAGAAAGACGTCGGATACTTAGGCTCCGACGAATGGGCACCACCTCCGATCAATATAATCAACTTTGATAACTATAGGATCAACAATGCCTGGAGTAATCATGAGATAGTTGAAGAGGACGACGATGATGATGATGATGATAATGGTCGCTTTGGAGGAAGCAGATTAATGCCATCCATCACGGAAGAATACGACGACGGCGACGCTGGTAATTTGTTTTCCTATGATAGTCGGAATGGGAGCGACGTCGTGTATGTGGTGACGTGGAGAGGGACTGAGGAACTGTCATCGGCGAGCATGGATGCGCTGGTTTGGACACTTGGAAACGATCTTCATGAATCAACCATCGTCTATTTGGTCCACGTTTTCCCGGAGCTCCGCTACATCCCTACTCCTCGTAAGCACACTCGCTCTGTTTCTAAAATTTTGTTTCTAATAGTCGGAAACAATGGTGAGTAGGGCAAATTCAATACTCATAACCGTAGATTCAAGTAGTTTTTAATTCAAATTTATCATTGCTAGCATCAAAGTACATGATTTCAAACATTCAAATTATTGTGTGTTCTAAATTAGGGATCGGAATAAACCTCATTGTTAGATCCATACACCTTCTTGTTCTAATCGATAGCTTCAAGGAAAACAAATTCTCATGTTCATATGTTTGACCAATAAGGTTAGAAAATGACAAAAGAATTCTAACGACAAAAAAGCAATCAATAGTTGGTGGCGGTGTGGGCCTGGCTAAAGCGATTCTAGAGTTGATTCTAGAGGAGACTTTGATGATCTCTGTACTATGATTTAATGGCTATTTTGCATTTATTGAATAGTTTGTTACAAAATGATTAAATGGTTAGAATAATTAATAGGCTTTTATGATACAGCGGAAAATGAAATATAATTGTTTGGTAATTTTTTATAATGAAATTAGGGCGCTGAATGGTTAAGGGAGGCCCAGGATACAAAATCATTAAGAGGGTTTTGGAACCATTAAGAGGCCAACTTTTTTCCTGTCAAACAAGATTCACCTTTTAACGATTCAAATGCTACCTCTTAATGGAACTATTAAGAGGTAAACAAACAACCCCTTAATGGAACTATTAAAAGGTAAACAAACAAATAGGTAGAAGACCATGGTTTTGGAAGATAAAAAAGAATGATGTTTATCTTTTAACGATTCAAAGGCTACCTTTTAATAGAACTATTAATAGGTAAACAAATAAATAGTAAAACCCTTCAATTTAATTGCATTTGATGATAAACTCAAGTTAGCAAACCAAAGGCAGAAGACCATGGTTTTGGAAGATAAAAAGAATGATGTTTAAATTAGAAAAGATTGGATACAATTAGCCCCCACATCAGGAGGATTATTTGCTTACACTTTGTAAAAGGTTAATTCTATTGGCAACATCAAATTATGCAATGAGGTTTGTATAATTGTGTAGAATAAAAATTGAAAGCGTGTCGCCATATCAACTCTTATCGAGTCAAATCATATGTAAAATCAGGCTTTGACATTGATGTGTATGAGTATGGAAATGCGGGTAAAACCATTTTTCATCATTGCCTACTCCAATTTACGTCACGTTTCGTTTTGTGTTCTTGTCATAGAAATTCTAGTTTTTGGATCTTCAAAACTGCAAGATCCTAATGGTTGTGGTGTTTGTTACTTGCTAGATGCATCCTGTTAGTTTTGAAAGGATGAATGTTTGCAAACTCAAAACAAACAAGTTATGTGTCTTGACATTATAAACCTCTACACCGAATGTTAATGAAATGTAATCATGTCGAATGTACAGTGGGAAGGTTACCGATAAGTCAAGCAAACCCCGAGCAGAAGGAAAGCTGCCTTGTTCAAGAAAGAAGCAAGAGAAGTGAATACCTCCAAAGGTTTCTTTCTCTATGCTCTTCTTCAAAGGTAATACCTTTTGCACACCACTTGCTTTTCTTTTCTTTTTGATTAACCTAGATATCCAACCCGCTATACGAGCCGACTAATCCCAGGGCGACCACCTGCTTTGCAGATAGCCCTGAGTCACCGCATTTGAACCTCCGTGACCACAAGAGAATTTTTGTTCCTTCTCGGATTTAAACCTGGGACCTCCAGGCACTTTTAACCTTTGAAGCCAAACTCAAACCAATAAGAGTCACTTGCTTCTTTCTTTCCTTCTCCATTGTTCTATATCTAATTTCTAAACTACATTGATGGTGAAGGTCCAAGTTGAAACTGTGCTTATTGAGAGTGATATGGAGGCAAAAGCCATCCTGGACCTCATTCCAATTCTAAATATAAGAACACTTGTGTTGGGTGCCACCAAATCCAACCTAAGGTGCTACATCTTCATCCCTTTTTATCTTTGTCCTTTTGTTCCAATTCTTTTCTCTATTTAATCCTGTTGAATCTATAACAGGAAACTCAGGGGTAGCAGCAAGAAAGGTGGTGGAGGGACTCTTGATCAAATACTACATAATGCCCCAGAGTCTTGTGATGTCAAAGTCATCTGTGAAGGAAAGGAAGTGTCGTTGCAAGATCAGTCGGTCACCGGATCGCCCACTCCATCTGTGACTGCTCAATCTCCACGTGACGCTTACGTTAATGGCCTAAAAACTATGCCGGACAATACCGATAGCTCTGTCAAATGCAGCTGCTTCAAGCTCTGATATCTGTATCTATAGGTTCAACTATATGTATACGTTTACAGCTTTGTAAACTCAAAAGCACAATCTTAATTGTTGCATCTTGTAAAACATGTTCAGAAACAATAAATCAAAGTTGTAGTTCATGTTCACTATGTTTGAGAAAGTATCTGATAAGCTAGTTGTTAGCTGATAAGCTAACCATGTTTGGCAATGTACGATGACCTAAAACACATGTTGAAAAAGTTAAAACGGAAAGATAACGGGAGAACTAATTTGAACAAAGAAAAGTAGCCTTTGGTTTACTTACGGAAAACCAAATACAAGTTTTTCAATAAGCTCAAAAAATAAGCCAGAAAAGTCTGTTATATGAGTTCAGCTCCTTTTGAGTGATATCCTCAGGCCTAGAATTTGACAAATGGCAAGATGCAATGCAATAAGAGACAATTACCAGTCACTCACAAGTGTCATGTAATTGATCTGAAGAAAAATACAAGCATCCCTCCCCAACCCAAGAAACAGCAAACCACAAAATCCACAGCCATTTACTTCAATCACTAGAAGAAATCAAACTCCAAGTAATTGTCTGAACCTTTTTGGTTTGGAGCAGCCACAGGGGGTACATTGGTCTTTTCACTTGTTGATGCGATGGGAGCAGAGAGTCGTTCGAATTCAACTGGCTTCGGGACATCCGGCGGTGTAGCACACCGGATCAAAGCCCAGTTAACACCTTCGAAGAACGGGTGTTGCTTAATCTCAGTGGCACCTCTTTTATATGCCAATCTATGTTGAGGTTCTTTCACCAGCAAACCCCTGATAAGATCCCTTGCAGAAAAACTCACAACCGGTGATTCCGGAAACCGAAGAGGCTGGCCCACGACATTAAACAATGTGGCACGATTACCCGACCCTTTAAACGGGGTTCTACCAAATAATAATTCGTATAGGAATATTCCAAAAGTCCACCAATCTACAGCACTTCCATGGCCTTCACCTTTAATGATCTCAGGGGCTAAGTACTCGTGGGTTCCCACAAACGACATTGATCGGGCACTCGTTGGTTCAGCCATGAGCTCCGGCAACGGGCTAACTTGGTTTCCTATTTCGTTCTTGATTTTGTTTTTCCGTTCTTTCTTGGATTTGCTTGAGAAAAAGCGAGGGGAGAAGCAAGATGTAGGGACCACACATGAAGGCTGAATACAGGAAGGCTCGATGCAAGCTGGTTGGACACAATAAACGGTGTTTCTACGAAGAGGTTCGGAGTCCATAGATGAAGATTTTACTAAAGTGGGGCTAACAGTGCAACGAAGTGAAAGATCGAAATCCGAGAGCATTATATGTCCGTCTTCTCTCACAAGGACGTTTTCTGGTTTAAGGTCCCGGTAAACGATCCCGAGCATGTGAAGATATTCCATGGCTAACAGCACCTCCGCCACATAAAATCTGCAAAACATCAAAAACAACGAGATTAATCCATGTTCACGTTTTGATGATTCAAAATCTTAAGCATTCAACAAAAACAAATGTAATGCTAAACCTGGAAACTAATGAACTTTGGAATCGACCATCATTCCACAATTGGCATACATTATGCTATGAAATAAGATCAAAACACAATGAACCATAAACTCTTGAGGTGTGCTGGATGGTAGGGAGTCGTAACAAAGAGCACCCACTTCAAGGAGTCGCAACCAAAGTTGTTAAAGGCTCAAGGCGCACTTAGGTGCAAAGAGGTCCCGGGGCCTAGGCGCAAGGCACATCTAAATAAAAGTATATATACACACAGACAGTTATACACAACTCAAATATGTAGCAACTACTCTAGTGCAGCAACCAACAATACTTCGATAGAGGCAGAAGGGAGAAAGGGTTTAAAGCGTGGCACCTAGGCCTACAAGGCACCTCAGCCAAGCATAGGGCCTTAGTGAGCCTCGTGAATACGCCTAGCCTCGACTTTAAAAAACACCAAGACCTTGAGCCTTACGAGCCTCAAAGCCTAGGCACGCCTCAAGGGTGCTTTTAACAACTATGGTCGCAACTCAAAACTAGGGGTTGTTCTCCAATGGTCACTAGTTCAGAGTCTCATCTGGACAATTGAAGATTTGTCTTGTTAGCTTCAGTGCCATGTGGGATTAGTCAAGTTGAGCGAAAAAATGCTAGACCATCCCTATTTCTATGTTATCCACTTTTTCAAAAAAAATTCAGGTGTCAGCTAATCCGGCGAACACATCAAGGACTCACGCGGTTATCCAAAAAGAAAAAAACTTGGGGGTCGTTTACCAAACACTAACCAGGTAAGAGCCACCACCCTCACTTACCTTACCAGATAAGATTCTCAGCCATAAAAAATGGCATAGCAAGATTGTTGGTAAGTGTCGTTTACCTGGTAAACGCTAACATGATAAGAGTCACCACCCTTACTTACAGGATAACATTCTTGGTGCTTGCCATGCCTCTTACAAGGTAAGATTCTCAGTCATCGTATGCTCACCCGATAAGATGAGTTACACGGTAAGTGCTTAGCCCATTCTGTTGGGTAAGCGGCCCCTTAAGTGGTGTTAGAAAACCTTTATTACGAAGAAAGAGGAAAGTAAGAAAAACTCGTGTTCTTATTTTAGGAGAGAAAGGAAAGAAAATAATGATTACTTTCCTCCCACAAATTCCTTCCCAAATATGGGAGGAAAGGGAAGAAAAGGAAATAGATTAGAACTCCTTAAAAAATATCATTAAAATTGCAAAACCACCCATTCGTTTCATTTCATTTTGTTCCGTTCTGATCCGTTTCGTTTCTCCCCAAATTCGAGAACACAACGTTCGGCTTAAAGATCACATCCACGTCTCAAACAGATATGGAAATAATGCGTCGGTTATCTAAGTAAAAGAATCCTAATAGAATCTTTGATACTCAAGAATCCAAAAAGAAATTTTGCAACAATCCCATCCAAAATGACCTAAAAAGAGAATGGTCCACTGTTTTGTTTCTAGTCAATGAAAAACACACCAATAATCATATTCACAGATTGGAATCAGATGGAAGAAGTTAATCTGGATTCTGGGTAAAAAGAATATGAATCTTTTTGTATAGAAAACATAAAGGAAGTACCAAATAAATACAGTATATGAAAAAGGATATTTACCATCTTACTTTTCCCAGACCTTGCAAGGTGATGAAACCTTGCATGCTCACTTATGTTTTACCCTATGAATTCATTTTCTAATAAGGGAAAAATGTAAGAGTTGATCCAAGATATAATCGACCACCCCTAATAAGATCCTTGGCGCTCGGCACGAAAGCAAAAAAAAATAAAATCTTTCTACAAAAATCATTCAACTTTTGTATCAAAAACCTTCCTCTTGATCCTAGGCCATGATCTTCGTTTGATTTGAGAACTTCACAATGGTACAGATTCAATGTTTTCTTGTAAAATAAGCTTATGCAATCTTTATGGAAACAGTCTCTCTACCCCTCGGCCCTCCCAACACCCAACATCATGGCTGTTTGGTTGGTTTTTCATTAAGTCCTGTATGGATAAAGCTGTGTGTGGATTTATTTGTATGTATAGATCACGAAGATTTTTGTTTGAGAGGGTTTTTCATAGATGGAAGGTGCTACTTTTAACTCGAGGGGCAGGTTTGAAAAAAACTTGCTTTCCCTCTTAAAAGCTTACTGAATAAGCCAACGGTATCTGATAAATAAGCATCGGCTAACTCTGTGTCAGCAGCGAAGTAATACAGAGGGTGGAACTCCTAAAGTATACTTATTGCATTTGAGACATCATTAAGCCACTACCAAGTACCAAACAGTCATGTAAAGCTGACCATGTGAGTCCCATTAAGCTCAATAGGCTGCTAACAAATAGGACTTGGTGTGTTTGTTTGGTTTGGTATTATATGTAATTAAAGAAATATAAAAGATATGCATGGCGTCAATTAGAAAGATGCTTACTTAACAGCTTGCTCGGTAAAGTGTTTCCCGGGCTGTCTCTGCCTAAGAGTGTGCAAGTCCCCTCCAGGACAGAACTCCATCACCAAACATGAAAACTTATCGGTCTCAAAGTGGGTGTACAGCGTTGGAAGAAACGGGTGGTCCAGAGATTGCAGTATCTCTCTTTCTGTTTGAGCTCGAAGAAGCTTCTTACGGCTGGCTAGAGATGCTTTATCCATGACTTTCATTGCAAAATATGCTTTAGTTCCAGTCAATTCCGCCAAGTAAACACTCCCAATATCACCACACCCTAATCTTTTCAACAATCTGAAATGGGTCAAACCCAAAGCCCCATCTCTAGCTCGAACCACTTGGATGGCTTCCCACCTCATATCATTCGATTTATGTGGCTTGTTGACACTGCTACTGAAACTACTACAGCTGCTCTCATCGCTTACATTGCTGCTTGTGCTTCCTCTACACATACTACTCTTCCCGCTCTCCACAAAATCAGTTTTGACAAGGCTACTGTTCCCATCGCTAACTTTATCTGAAACCGAGCTAGATTTAACACTTCCTCTTTCACCTGTTTTCTTTTCTTGATCCACAGAAACATCAGGTGGGCATTCGATTTCGGTCCCCACTTGTTCACTGACTTTAGGAACCATAGCAGTTTCTGGTTTAGTAATCAATAGTTTAGAAGCCAGTTTAGCTTCCAAATCATCTCCATGCTTCTTTGAGGCCATCGGATGATAGATTAGATGTTATATATGAAACAGGATCAAGAAACTCATTCTGGAAAACAGCTTCTCATGATGCTAAAGATTTCCATCAAGAAAACCACAGCTCTGTAAACACAATGTCATAAAGAAGTTCAAACATCAGACTTTATAAACATATTCAAGTCAAGAAAAGTAATTTCAGATTGGGGCACAAACATATCACAGTACAAAGAAAAAGAAAAAAAAGACTTGGATCCAACCGCAATAGACGAACTTGGAAGTTTCTTGACTAAAGAAACCCCAGTTGAGATTTTTCAGAAACAGCATACAAAACCTGATCCAGAAGCTAGATCTAAAAATAACAATCAGAAAATCTAGAAAAGAAGAAGAAAGTCAGTAACAGAAAGGTAAGAAGGTAGAAGATCAATCATGCAACTAAATACCCAAAACGTATCAAATAAATCGAAAGAAACCCAAATTTAAATCCTGGAAAATGAATATATATATATATATATATATATATATATAAAGCCAGTGAGAAAAAATTGCAAAGATTGCAAGGACCACCGGCAAAAATTTGAAGAAATGGTCAATCAAATCAGGAAATTGACAAATGCAGTTGTTAACAGCATCAAGTTAGCAAATCAATCTGCTAAACGTAAAGATAACCAGCACAAAACTTGGGTTTTGATTAACGAATTTACCAAAAAAGTAATAACATACAACACAGATCCAACAAAATCCAGAAATCCCAAGATTCAGAAAAGCACATCTATCAAACCCATTAAAGAAATTTGATAAAGAAAGGGGGAAAAACCTAGAATTGAAAGAATCTGGTCCACAAGTTCATTGCTTTGATTTAGCAGCAAAAAGGAAGGAGAAGGAGCAATCACTCTTGTTCATAGCATGCTGATGATACCTGTGAAAAGATTGGAGAGAGAGAGAGAGAGAGAGAGAGAGAGAGAGAGAGAAAGTGATGCTTGAGAGAGTAATAAAATTTTGACTGGGCCTCACCTTCAAGACTCTGAGGCAAGGCAAGAATGGAGTCGAAAGAAAAGCAAAAAGCTTTGTTTATTTATTTATTTGGGGTTTGAAAAATCAATCAATAATTTCGATTGTTTTTTAGTCCCGAAACAGAAGGGTCCGAACTACGAATCAACATGCTGGACTCTTCACTCTCCCCTGTCTGCCAAGCCATCAGTACAACACAAGCACTCCTCAGTTCTTGAAATTACCGATTTACCCTCCAACCTGTCTCCTTCACAACCCTTCAACCTCAGCCTTTTTGAGTCTTCCAATCATATACTTGTTGCTCCTGTTGAGAAATAAAAATGAAAAGCTCCTAACTTTATGGGGGGGTCAAACTTCAATTTTTACACACCTTTGACTCATACCCATTTAGAAAAGATTGATTGACACATGGCCATTTAATCTCTTTGTCCTTGTAACTCTCGGATTCTACTTGCACCAACTCTTACCAAATCTTATCTCCAACGCCCATCCTATGGTTTCTTTCAAAATTTCTTCAAACATGGAGGCCATAAGCAACTCTTTTTGACTTGAAATTTCATCATTAACGATCTAACACAGTCAACGAGTTGGGGATGGAAACAGGGAGAAAGAACGGGGAGGGAATACCCCTCTTTCCATCCTTGTGCATGCCCTTAATCCTACCCTGTCTAATCCTTGGTGGGTTTGAAATAAATGATAGGCCTGGGGGATCCTCCACATAGGTCGGTAAACGTTAGTTCGAGTTTTCTAAGAGCCACTTGGAATTTTCCATGTTATCTTCAGGTATTAATGGTATTAGTCCAGGTGCATACAAGTTGACCCAACAAGTAGTAGTAACAATAAGAGTAAAATTCGATTTTGGTCCTTAAGGTTTAGTGAAAAGTCTAAAAGTGAGACCTAACTTTTGATAAGTCTAGAAATCATCTTTGTGATTTGCATTTTGCTTTGAAAATGGTTTTTGACACTAAGGGGCCGTTTACCAAACACTTACCCGATAAGTGTTTACCGGCATTATTTAACACTATCATTGATTTAGAGGGTAAGATTTTTTTTGATTAACCTGGATATCCAACCCGCTATGCGAGCCGACTAATCCTAGGGCGACCACCTGCTTTACAGATAGCCCAGAGTCACCGCATTTTAACCTCTGTGGCCACAAGGGGATTTTTATTTCTTCTTGGATTTGAACTTGAGACATCCTTGTACTTTTGATCTTTGGAGTCAAGCTCAAACCATTCATGCACCACCCTTGTGGTTAAGAGGGTAAGATTTTAGTCTACTAAAATGGTATCATATGCAACAATTTACCCGGTAAGCGCTTACCGTGGTAAGAGTCGTCGTCTTCACTTACTGGGTAAGACTCTTGGTCCTTGTCTCGCTCTTACCGGGTATGATTCTTGGTCCTTACCATATTCATTCGGTAAGGTAATGTGACTTGGTGTTCACTTACCTGAGTAAGCATTTGGTAAACGACCCATTACTTTGTTAGTTGGAGGGATGTTCAGTTGAGGAGCATTTCTGTACTTTGTTGTTAGTATATGAAACTTGTGTACAAGAGTGATTAGTATTTAGAAAACAAAACCAAAAAAAACTTTCGAATTCCTTCCTCATACCCCCACTCTGGTACCTCTCCTCTCTTTTTGTCAAATTTTCTTCAAACATGAGAATTTATATATATATATATATATATATATATATATAGAGAGAGAGAGAGAGAGAGATAGGATATGAAGAGGATTAAAGAGAGAGGATTTCAAACATTATTCCTTGTGTATATTTGTAGAGAAGGAGGGTATTGGAGTTCGCGTGTGTTTGCGTCTGGTTTATCGTAAAATGCATGCAAATCAACGAGATACGTGTGTTGAACAAGGGGGGAGAGGGGAGCAGGTGGTGGTCGGTGATCCTCACCTTTGGGGTTGGTTGGAGATGGTCTTTGATGTTTGTCACTTTCAACGAAATTGGTCCCTACAAACTATTTTTCATTCATATATTTCCCTTATGTTTGCCAAAATTCTTGAATCTCATCCCTCCTACTAACCATAAATTCAGATAAATAAGTGGTATTTTGATTAATTACATTTTCCAACTATTTTAACCTTTTTATAAAACAAAAACTAAAACCCTTCTTCTCTCCTTATTCCTCACATGTGATTTGCATCGACCCTATCTCCGACACCCATCTCCATCTCCATCTCCAGTGAGTCATATAATTGGGTTTTAGGTTTTTTGTTAATTTTTTGTGGGTTTTGTTTATGGTGTTGAGATTGTCGAATGTGGCTCAATCCAAGGGATTTTAATGAGGCATGTCTCCTTTTCATTTATGGGTTTCTCGATCCAACATCTGAAGCGAATTTAATGAGGTGGGTTTTCATTAGTGACTTCCCAAGGGGAATATTTGTGGGTTGGATAGTTTTTTGCATACTGGGAGGGATAATGAAGTGGGTTCCATGTTTTTGTTGGTGTATATGTGTAACATGGGAAATAGATGAGACTTCGACTATTTGGTTGTAATAAAGGTCAATGTTGGACTCGAGAATCAATCGTTAAATATATGGATTTTCAAAGTTGTTGAGCCCCTATCAAATTAGAAATTTTATTAATTGACAAACAATGTAATAAATACTTAGTCATTTGGGATAATCAAAGAAGGTACCATTTTGGAGCATTTCATTGGATAGAAAAAGTTGATAATCATATAACATCTGACAAGTCAGCTGTCGCTGAACAATGGATAGAACATCTCTATTAATGTATGATCAGATTAAGTCTATTAAATGAAGACAGGAGCTGATGCTAACAAGTGATGCAAACAATTGCAGATCAATTTACAAATATTGAACATTTGATGAAGATATCATATAGAAGCCTACCATCTGATCAACCTAAGCTCACCGGTGTCAGATGATCCTGACCAATAGATGATGTCTTGGACAAATGGGCTTAATCATCAGCTGAAGATGCCCAGACCTGAAAGTCCACCATCTGAAGGTTCAAACATTTAATGATGTACTAAATGTCAAAGCATGTCCCCACTTTAGATAACAAGGACAAAGGTACTTTATGACATATGTGCTACAGAGTCTTTTCTCCATTTTTGTCAACCCGATAAGGAAAACAAGTATGGTTAGCATTTAATGGATTTTGTCCATAACCACTACAAGGATGAGAAATGTAGCACGTAACCTGATGAACAGATAAATGCATGTTGTAAAAGGACATCCTCTTCATACTTTGTCATCATACTGATTTTTCATATGTAAAAGTTGTTGCATACAAATACCAAGTGAAACCTTGATGATCAGTACGTAGAAATATTGAACTCAAGAGAATATCTTACTATTCTTTTAAATCATCGAAGTTCATCAGTTGATCACCTACTATTTTCTTGCAAGTTCAGTTTCTTAATTAAATACTTGTCAAAATTGATTGAGTGCGTTGTAGTGTGTGATCTAGATGGAATACAACTGTTATATTTGAGAGAGGTAGTTTATAGTTTATTTTCCATGACAATCTTTTGTATTGTAAAGCATCAAACTTTTTAATAAAATTACTAAAACTTTGAGAACACTTTATTCACCTCCTCTGCTATGTTATTGCCTTATTTTTAACCATGTGTGACCAACAAAAGCTTATAAGACTGGACATTAGAAGGCCAGATCCAAAGTTCCTTTTGTCAAGATTAAATTAGGGTGAGATGGCTTGAATACAAAAGATGAAGGCATTCATTAGTTGAACATTTATGGCTATACAGAATGGATCAAGATTATCGATTCAAGACAACAAAAGCAAATTCATGCCTTTTGTCATCCAAATAATCCAACATCTACTTTAGGAAATTAAGATACTGAAAAAAAAAATTTGGACTTGACACTCCTCTAGTCTTTGTAAGATCTTTCCAAACCTACACTTGAACATCTTCCTCCTTTTCTTCAGTGAAGCCTTCATCCGAAATCCTCCAATTCCTCTCAAAATTCAAGTTGATCAAGTCGTCATCCAACTTCTTTCCATATTTGGAAATCTCTGAATAACTTCAAACCTTGATTCCTCCTTACCCAACGGTAATCTGATGCCCCATGGTATTGTGCTATTTCTTTCGAAAGCAAGTATGTATTTCTATGATGTGTTTTGGAGTTTAAAGATCAAGAGAATTATTGATTGCACACACCATAATCTTCATGCTTTGTTTCGATTACACCAAATGATGGATTTGGAAGATCTTTCACAGATGGAGTAAAAGTAGTGCTTCATAAATGGATCTCCTAATCAGACAAATGGCCTGTCAAGTTTGAAGATATGATTTTTGAAGAATAGATATATTTGTATATTTACCTATAAACTTT